AGAGAATATTACATAAGTTACATGACATTTTGCACCAGAATAGTAAGCAAGTCACTTCAACTTTATTTAGTATGAGCTATCTTCCATTAAGAAATTTATTCTGCCTTCCAAGCCTATAAGTATTCTTTACACTGGCAGAAATAAGGCCTGTTTCCTTCCCCTCCATAAATTCTAAAACGTACATATACACACTAGTTTTAAACATTTAAATACCGAGGTAATAGCAGAAATGTACCTTTTTAGAAGCTTGCCACCCTAGTCTAATGCTAAAGCAGATAAACCTGAAAATAATTAAGGAAACATGGAAAACATGAGTGCTTTAGCAATCTTGTTTAAAATTACCAGCTAAATTCCATTATGGGAGAGCCTGTTATATAAAGGGCAGTACTGATTCACGTCATCTTGAGAGTGTTTAAAAGAAAAGCATATATTCTTGGGAGTGTGCAGCATTTGAAACATTCACATTTTTAAAAGCCACCAATGAGATAGATAATAAGGATTTATTAGGTTTAGAATTTATGGGGTAAGAAAATAATGAGGCCCTATTTCTTCCAGGGCTAGTACTTTGCAAAAATCCTATAAGTTAATTACTATCCCCATTTCACAGAGGGGGAAAACTGTGGCTCTGGTAAATTAAGCAACTTTGCTCAAGGTCACCTTGTGAGTAAATATGGGGCTACCTTAATCAAAAGCCCATGCTCTTTTTTCACTGCACCAGTGGTTTTCAAACTGGTTATTTTGTGGAATGAGAGAATGATGTACCATGCGGGCCAGCCCGTGGCTCACTTGGGAGAGTGCAGTGCTGAAAACACCAAGGCCATGGGTTCGGATCCTCTATAGGGATGGCTGGTTAGCTCACTGGCTGAGCGTAGTGTTGACAACACCAAGCCAAGGGTTGCGATCCCCTTACCGGTCATCTTTAAAAAAAATAATAATAATAATGTGCCCTGCAAGAAAGGCTCTAGGCCCACTATCATTATCTCAACTAGAAGTAGCTATAATTTATATGNAATTTACTTTTTAAAATGATTCAATGCAAAAATAAATTTTGAACTACTGCACTATATCAGACCACTTTGTTGCGATAGTTATTAGTTTACCTCATTATTTTTACCCCCCAAAACAAAGATACTTATAACCATACAAAACAAAAACAAAGACATTGTTGCACAAAAGACCTCTCAACAATTAAAAAGTTACCTTTTTACACTATGTAGACCAAATGAGCAACTTTTACACACACAATGTTTTTAAATTTTCTATAAAAACTTCAAGATTCAATTTTTTCAGGCAAGTATAATTTTAAAACAATAAAAATTGCCTATACTAAATAAATTAATTCTACAACATAATCTGTTTGCCAATATAGATTATTTATATATTGTACTTTCTTTCCTGCCAATATCACCTACCTTTACCTTGCAACTGTTGAAAAAGGACAAAACGTTTTCTCCATTCCTTTTTCTTCCAAATGTTGTAGTTACTGACATGTAAAAGCAGTCTCAGTTTTCTAATTAAATTCTAATGTAAAGTGCACAACCTTACCTAGGCAATTGCAGTACATTAATCTACCTACAAAACAAAACGTTTTGCTTCATTATCCAGGATTGAGAATAAAAGCATCTAACAAATTTATCCCACACACGTAGGTACTAGAAGACCAAGTTAGAGATCTAATGAGAAAATGAAATACATACTACCTAGTTGTTCCCTTAGAAAATATGCCCAAAATAATGATTACTATCATTAATACTCCTTATAGGAAAGAAATTCTAAGCTCATTACTTTTCCGAAAGAAAACATATCATCCTGTAACTGAATATAGTTTTCATCCCATTAGCAAAATAGGAAAAATTTAAAAAGTTCCTGAAACACATTAGCAAGACGTTTAGTTTTTATTTGTTCAAAGAGTGTAGGTGACGATTCAGAGAAGACC